CAAATTCAGACAAGTGCAGAGAATGCTTTATCCGTAGTGTTGTCTGCAGACTAAAGGCATTTCAAAATAATGCAGTCAAGTAAACTAGAAAATTGATAACTAGAAAATCTGTCAGATAAATAAATGAAAGAAAATGCTAGTGTGAGCTAGCTCTCAGTTTCTAGGACAGTTAGAAGAATTTAATTATTAATTATGATGACTCTACAATTGATGTGAAAAAATGGGTTAGGAGAAGCACAAAGAATAGTTCGAAAGGCAATTCTGGCCAATATGAAACGTCGATATCCAGTTTATTTACCGCCTTATCTAAACCAGAGCTCTGATTTAGATAAAGTCATCTAAATTATGAGCGATTATACACAAGTATGATGGATCCTGTTTATTAAAGAGATAAGATAAAAATAAATAAGTAGATAAGGATGCATGTATAAAATACTGGAATTACCTCATCTCTTAGGTTATGCAGTATTAAATAAACAGTTAGCATTTTTCGTTTGTAAGTAGGTTTCAAGGCTACCAGTAGATTATATATATATATTTATTTATTTATTTATTTATGTATATATATGATGTCTGAATTTGAGAACTCGTTTCTGCTTACTAAAGGTCTCAGATAATAGCAGTTAAGAGAAAGTTATCTAATTTTACTTGTCAAAGGCGTCAATCGCCAAGTTGTAGAGATATCGTGCGACGAGACAAGCATCCACGAGATGTAGAGGAAGCTCCCCAGCACGCAAAAGCTTCAGGGTTCGGAGGAGAGGCGAATCTTTCCAGGAGCCAATTGACTGACAAGGCACTGAAGTGCCATTTTGGTCCGAGCTTTGGTTCTGGCCCGAAAATTCTGGAGCAGTTGATATTGACTTATCGAAGGAGAGGCCGTATGCTGCCTCAAAAGCGTCTAATAAAAGAGATTGCTCTGAACGGAGCCTAAAAAGAGGAGAGGAAGAATCGAATGCAGAACTAGAGAAGAGAGAGACTTAAAACATTAATATAAAAAGTAAGAGGAAAAAGAAAATGTATTTTGTTGTGTTAAAGAATGACGATTCAAGAAAATCTTGTCCGTGATACACGAAATTAATCTAAGTAGATTGATATATTTAGGACAAATAGAAGCATCGAATGTTTCCCGCATAAAATTCACCCAAATAAGAGTGACTCGGACGCCACAAAAGACATTGTATAGAGAAGTTATCTGGTAAACAATTATAAAGGCTTTTAGAAAATTGTTCACAATTATAAAACAAGATTTGACTGCATAGTTGAGTCATAGAGAGTGAATCACCAGCAGCATCCCAATTTGTCATTCTAAGATCCAACCTTTCGGTTCTTTATAATTAACAAACCTCTCTGCCAAAAAGCGATCAGATAAAAAATCAAAGGATACACTAAATGAGCCAATATGAGTGGCTAGAACTCGCCTTTTAACTTGGTCATATTGTCAGGGTAACCGAGTTGGATGCAACTTGTCCGAAGTCCTATGCTAGAGTAATTGCGGGTAATTCCCAGCGTTTGACCGTGGACTTGGTACATACCCAGGCGTTTCGCCGGCATCGTCAAGGAGCCTTTCCATTCTTAGCCCTAAGACACAACTCGTCAAAGTGACAGGTAAAGTCAATTCCTTTACCAACATTGTGCGAAACGGTTGCGTTATCACATTTCAATCTGTCCTCGTACATTCACCTACCCCCTATCCGCGCCTCAAACCCTCGTTAGCACAACTTCTAACTTGCTAATTCTGACTTTTTTATAAGTGTGACCTTTGTGGCGAGAATAGCGAGGCGTTATCACACCGACTTGTATACTTAGCCCTCTCTCGATTCACCGGAATTACTGATCCGACTTAGACAAATTCGAATCTCTCTCATGGGCCCGAAGATACATTTCTTATCTTACCGGTTGAGTGATTTCACTCGCTTCTCGTGACAGAATGAGCTTTACTTCAAGCACTACTTGTATAGAACCGAGTGCAATTAATAAATTAGAAAGATAAGAAACAAATCTCCAGGGTCATCAGGGAGATTTGGATAGGAGGTCCGAGTCGGCTCAGCAAATTTGACAAATGGAGGTAGAGGAAACATGGCGAAGAGCAGGTGAATGACGTCACACTGAACTCATAAAAAATGGTACACCTCCACTAAAGTGAAATATAGACAAGTTAAAAGTTGTGACACAGCGGGAGTGAGATAAGAGTGTATGGAGTAGGTAGATGTATGAGGACAGAAAGAGAAGTTAAAGCACAAGCGTTCGGCAGAAAGTTAGTTAGGGCATTGACTTCAATTGCCCTTAGACGAGTTATCTCTGGGTGCTTAGATTGGCGAGACTAAGTGCAGATGCCGATTACGTTGTTGGTGGAACGAATTGGAACATGCAAAGTCCACAGTTCAACACTGGGAATTATCACAATTACTATAGAAGAGGTCTTCCGACAAGGTATGTCCAATAAGGTCACCCTAAAGATGCGACCGACTTGCGAAAACGAGGTCAGACCACTTATATTAATCGAAAGTAGACTGTAATCAAACCAGAAGCCACGTCTTGGTCTTCAAATCTAGCAATAATTTGAGTCTACTAACTTAATTATAAATATATTTTCGGTATAAATCTTAAAAATATATAAATTTATTCAAAATGTGGCTTACTAAAAGGGCAATATTTCATGTAACTGAAAAAGAAGTGAAAAATTACTTTAATTGTTCTAGATTAGCTCTGTATCTAATTTCTCCTTAAGCAGTAAGGCCTGAATAAATACAAACAAAACTCACTAGGAGCCAGATAAGCCTAAATAAAGTGTGACTAAAGTGACAACAATAAATTACTGTATCAATATGGTTGCAACGGTTATAAATTAATTTAATTTACCAATTATCATTTTGTGACAATTACTTTATATGAGATGTATTCACCCATTTCATTTAAGGAGATGAATGACTGGTAATTGAATTGTCCAGTAATAATATAAGTTTACCTTACATTTCATTGAATTTCACATAATCAGAAGGTATTCGTATTCATGATGGACTGCAGCTTCGACCCTGTCTAGGTCTCATCAGCAACCGCAGCAGAACTCGAACCATGACAGTGTATCCTATAATCTCTACATGTGAACCACAATTTCATATTGCCACAAGTGCATTTTTGATCACAGGGCAGATGATATGAGTAGATCTCACGGTTCCATTGAATTTTACATAACCTTACCTCCAAAAAGTTATTATCATCCAGATCGGACTGCAATTTCGGTCAGCACTCTCAGCTGGACTCGAACCATGACAGTAAAGCGTATAATCTCGACACGTTAACCACTACGCCACGTTGCCACGAGTGCACTTAGCAATAGGGCAGATGCGAATTTCCTGGAAGGCCAGACATTTTCAAATATCTTATTCTGTAGTGGAATTGTCAATGAAGCAAAGTTGTATTTGCTATAGCAATCGATTACATAACTTATTTTTCGTTTATAAGTAGGGTTTCAAGACTGCCAGTAAATCAGATTTATGAGATGTCACCCTAAATGAAATGAGTGAACAGGTATCATACATATGATTTACTGGTAGTTTCGAAACCATGCTTATAAACGAAAAAAATAGATAGCGTAGTCGATTGCTCTGGCAAATATAACTTTGCTTCACTAGCAATCCCACCACAGAATGCGATATGGGAAAATACCTGACCTTCCATGAAATTCGCATCTGCCCTGTTACCCAAGTGCACTCGTGGCAATGTGGCGTATTGGTTAACGTGTCGAGATTATACGCTGTACTGTCATGGTTCGAGTCCAGCTGAGAGTGCTGACGAGACTAAGGCGAGACTAAAATTGCAGTCCGCCTTAGATGAGAATAGCTTTTCAAGAGCAAGATTATGTAAAATCTAATGGAGCAATGAGGTCTACTCATATCGTAAGGGAAAAATTAAATTACCAGTCTCCTCATTATATGTTTGTCATTTGTTTGAGGCAAAAGTTATAATTAGATTAGGTTGGATATACTTTGGTGCACTTCATTTTCAAGCAGAGCAGCCCTAGATAATAGGTCATTATGGATCTGAAATGAGCCTTAGTTTGTGATACGAATAAAGACTCTACATGAATTAGGCAGATATTAGCTGGAATACCAAAACAATAGAAAGCATAATTTAATATGAATGTAGAGTCTAAGTGAGCACTAATGGCTGAAAAAGCAGATAAAATTCTGATCTAATTACACTTATTTGTTTATATTGCTGACTCGAATTCCTCTTTATCCATAACCATATTAAGAAGCCGAAGAAAATAATTGTTCAAACTCTAACAAGTGTTTTCGGCACAACGTTCTAATGAACTTATCATCTTCAATTGATTTGCTAATCTTACTCTTAACAATGATATTCTCATAGCTAATAAAGCGGAAAGAAAAAGCAAACGATATTTTGATATTGGAGTACCTTTATTTTCGCGTTAAGAGACTAGTGGAAGGGTCTCCTAAGTTGGTCTCATCAGAAGCTGTATGGGGATTGCCTTGGAGCCGTGACTAGAATTGTGCGAATAGGTCATGGGTGCATTGTTCTGCGACAAAAATGAAGGTCAACAAATACAAAAAGTATTCTCATCTAGAGGGGATCGCCATTTCGTTATCATCTGCACCCCCAGCGGGACTCGAACAGTGATATTTCTGCATTAAATCTAGACACAAGTGCCCTTAAGTAACAAAGTAGGGGAAAAACTTCGAGGAAAGTACAGCATTTTTCCCTTTTGCATTCTTTGGTGGGATTGTCGATGAATATATATATTTATTTATTTATTTATTTTTTGCAATAACAATCGACTACCATAATTATTTTTGATTTCATAACAGGTCATTCAAGACTTCCAGTAGATTTGTATTGACACAATTTGGCTTGAAGTGATGAAGGACTGGTGGCTAAATTTTTCCAATGACAATCCCACCAAAGATTGTGATATGGGAAAATACTTGGCTTTCCTATAAATTTGCATCTGCTTTGTGAATCAGGAGCACTCGCTGCAATGTGGCATAATGATTAACGTCTCTAGCTTTTTTGCTGCAATAATCATGGTTCGAGGACCCTGCGAGTGCTTATGAAACCTGGGCAATGTCGAAACTGTAGCCTAATGATGCCTGGATGAGAATACCTTTTGGGAAGAAAGGCCATGTGAAATTAATAGGAAACGTAAGGCCTAAAGAGAGGTCAAAACACCAAGAAAGCTCCCATTTAAGAATTTTAGGTTATTGAGTAAAATATCTTTCATCACCTTAAATGAAATAGGGTTAATACATATCATATTACTGATATACTGGTAGTCTCGAAACTCTACTTATATACGAAAAATATGTATTGTAGTCGATTGTTATAGCGAAAATACGTTGGGGTCATGGGCAATCCCACCAAAGAATGTGATATAGGAAGAGACCTGGCCTTCCTTGAAATTCATCTGTCCTGTGACCCGCGGGCACTCGTGGCAATGTGGCTGAGTGGTGAACGTGTCAAGCTCACCTGCTGCACTGTCACGGCGAGATCGAAACGGAACTCCATCCTATATGAGAACATCTTCTGAGAAAGCAAAGCTATGTGAAATTTAAGGGAAGTTTTAGCATCACTCATATCATTGTGGGAAAATTCAACTACCACTCCTTCATCACCTTCAACGAAATACGGTGAACACAACTCATATATTTCTTACAGTATGATAGCGATTAAACTTCGCCACTTGGAGAGATGTAAGTGAGATAGATGTTCGTCCAAGTAAATTGCATTAAAGTTTTTAGCTTCATTGATTTCCACTGATTACTGCATTACTGCATAAGACTAGATTATAAGAGCAGCCAAGACGGATTATTTTAGCTGGCTCAAATACACTCGGAAAAGGGGCACAAAAAGAACGTTAATAATTCAGATAATAATTCATACCAATCATTTTTACCATTTACTTGAAGAAGAATAGCAATAGCCAAGGTGGCGCATTAAAATAAAAAGTATAATTACTTTTAAAAATATAAAAGATAAAAAATGGGCAGACAAATGGGTATTCCTGTGAGAAAAGGTTTATATTAGGCCTGTTGGACTTAGCCATTATGTTTGGTCCACCCCGTCAAGCAGCAGTTAAATTCAAAAATGCAATTCAAGAGGAAGCATCCTAATTAAAGAACCATAGAAAGATAAATAATGATACTAATAACGATGCTATGCGCTCACTGTTTTAAAATTGAAAGCAGTAAAAGAGAACTCAAAGGAGGCATGCATGCGAAATATATTCGAATATAGGAATATGAAGGGAAAGTTAATAAGGAAGGATCAAATAAAAGAATACCTCTGGGATGCCAAAGCAGTTGGTGAGACAAGCGAAGCTAACTCGACCAATTGGAGTGAACAGAATAGCACTTCGAAGGGGTTCCAGCTCGTTACAGAAACAGAGGATAACAGCTGAGATCGGGTTGATTGCGGAGATTGGAGGGGAGAGGCAGCAGTTCCAGTGGGAACAGAGGGTTTTCCTGAGACTGAAACAGGCGGTAGGCTACTACAAATTATCTCAGCGGGAAACTTCTCCGTATCTGTCGATG